GGTCTGGTGGGGGTTTGGGGTTGAAGAAGGGGGGGGAAGGAGGGGTGCTGGATTCGTGGGTTTGAAGGAATGGGTTGGAGGTTGAAGACGATGAACAATGGCGATTTTTCTTGTATGCGTTTTTTTTCTTTTAATTTCTGCAGGGAAGAAAACGAGATTACTGCTAGGGTTTCACACCACAATCAAGCAAGATAATTTTCGTTTTTATTCTTCAATGCCTTCTTCTGATTACAGCAATTTCTTTTAAAGAGAAAGATTACAGTTTTGGAAATCTCACAGAATCTCTCTCAAAATATCAGAAAATTAAAACTAACTACTTGCCAAATCTAAACCATAATTTGAAATTCAAAATCAAATTCGAAATTCAAAATGCAACAAAAATAGGAATCCTAATCAATCAATCTCAGCTACTAAATCTGTCATCAATCAGAACCAGATGATAGGAATCTGGTGCACAGCTGGCGCGCGACGTCTCCTACGTTGGTAGACACGGCGAAAATCCCGTGTATGCTCCTGGATGTCCGCATCAGGAGGTGCTCGACATTTTTTTTTCTAGTTGAAGGGTCGTCACAGGTTTATCATTATGGTCACTGACATCAAAATCCGACATCAAAAGCAGCTCATATAGACTGGACTCTACATCATCATCTTTCTCTGGGGAAGATTAGTTTCAAGATGAGGATTTTCGCGAGTTTCAGTAAGGGTGGTCGAAGGATTTGTTAGCAGGCGTGGTGCAAGTTTGCTTTTGTGAAAATTGTTTGTAGGAGGTTAGTTTAGTGAAGATCGTTTGGAGATCAATTCAGTAAGGATTGTTTTATTAGCTTGCATGAGTGTATTCACGTAGTTCTGTTAGTTTGTTGAATTGGTTCATTGGTTGATTTTGATTTGTGAAAGATCTTTTGTTTAGTTGATCCGTGGAGTGAATCGTTTGTTTAGTTGGTCCGTGTAGATCATTTGTTTCTTTGATTTGTGAATAGGATCGTTTAGTTGGTTGATCCATGGAGTGGATTATTTGTATGTATGTATGTATTTATGTGTGTGTGTAGAAAGAGAGGAGTTGTTTTACAAGGACTTACATTCTCACAAATCTTTTACCCAATTATCATTTCGTTTCCTTGAACAAAAGATTTTCCCCACAAAAGGTATTATTGTACTCTAACTCATCACCCACCTTCCCTTTCATCCCCTCAACCAAATAAGAAAAATTCATCTACCTCCCCTCACTCCTGCTTCCAAATAAGAAGTAGAAAAGTTATGTCTTTCCTTCCACCTCATTGCACCTCAACCACCTCCCCTCTCTTCCTCATTGCACCCCACACACTTTTGTATTGTGGTTATGTGATTTTCATAAGGTTGAACCAAATTAGTAGAAGACATGGATATTGGACCTTTTACAGAGGTAATGTGCTATTAGTAGCAAACATAGAGGATAACTATTGTCTCATGATTGGCAACTTTTCATACTTCGGTGGTGGTCATCATTACGAGAGAAGGAAAAATGGTGCCATGTCACTAGATAACCTTGTGCATTCTGGATAAATGATTTCCCTAGCGCCTCGTTTGGTACGCGAGAATGAGGAGGAATGGAATACAATTCCCACTTCCCATTCTCTCATACCAAACACACATATATTTTAGATGTTGGAATGACCATTCCCTAGGAATGATCATTCCCACTATTTGTGGGAATGAGCATTCCAAGTGAGAAGATAAGGAATGGTCATTCCCATTCAAGTGAGAATCAAAAAATAGTTAGGTATTTTTCAATTATATCCATATTAATAATAAAGAATGTTTGGGTGAGGCGCTATGCAAGTGGGCAATTTTAGATTGACAATTTAGGCTAGTATATCATTTTGCTATTTCGAAACTTATTATTTTAGTTGGTATTGTTTTATGGATTTTTGCTATTATGAATTGAGTGATTTTGATACTTTATCAAATAAGTTAATTTATATATCTAGAACTGTGGATTGTGGATATCATTCTTTTTTTTGGACCTATGAAAGATACGATAATCTTTTTTTTTATTTTTCTTTAATTTTTAAGACTAAGAAATAGCGAGTATTGTTTAAAAAATATAAACGAAACATACACCTGATGGATAACACGAGCATTAGTATATAACACATATCTAGATTAATATAACATATGCGTATATAAAATTATTTAGTTATTATCATTAATGTTTATTTTTTATCTTATTAAAAATCTATGTTGTTGTAAGGGCATTATTAGAAAATGAGATTTCATTCTCACTTATGTACTAGTGATACCAAATATGGGAATGGGAATGAGATTTCCATTCTAGCTTCATTCTACGAACGCACCCAAACAAGAGAATGAGAATGACCATTCCATTCCCACATGCAATCCATTTCATTCCTTCTTCCATTCCATTCCCAAGTCTGTCCATTCCCGCGTACCAAACGAGGCGTAGGGGTGAAAGTTAGGTCTATCTTTGAAAATGTATCAACTGAGAGGTTGTATCTGGCAAACTCTTAAAATTATATCATAATATCATTTATTTGGACTCCAATGCACTGGCTATTTGTATATTTCATTAGAGATTTTTACTGCGTTCACTTTTATCTGCATATTTTTTTTAAATTATTTCTGTGCTGACTTCAGATGAAGGCGACAAAGGTGACGAACAGAATGAAGTTGAGTCTGTGGAGCTCTCCATGCGGTACATTATATTGCTTAGCTCCCGGCTTACTTTTTTTTTCACTCAATGGTGCATCTTTTGTGTAAGTTTTTTCTTTCTGCCTTGCTTTACAGGACTAAGAGAATGTCAATTGCAGTGGGGCCTAGCAGTTTTGCCCCAAGGAAGAAGAAGATTAAAAAGGCTTCCTCAACCCATTCATAGCTGTGGGATCTGTAGAGTTCTTTTGTAATGCAAATCTGAGGTTATATAATCATTAGGTTTTTTTTACCTTGATTGGATCTTCAAGACTAAATGTCAAGGCTTAAAAGAGTAGCAAATTCCATTAATCCTGTGAAATTTCTGATCTAGCTCAGCCTATTTTGTTGTTTATTTATTTATTTATTTATTTTTAATTGCTTGTAGAAGTCCTAGTATTCACGGTTATTGCAATGAGAAAAAATAAATCGTAGGGACGTCTTCTGGAAGTTTTTATATTTTAATATATTTACATTTCATATTAAGGAAAACTTTGAAAAGTAATTGCAGACTCATCAAGCTCATGGAGGTTCTTTTGTGGTTTTCTTATTTTAGCTGTCATAGTTGCGACGCGTAACCTTGGAATCCCGAGTACTAAAATTACTAGCAGTCAACATGAAGGTGCTTGAAAGGCTTGTTTTGCGTCGCTATTTATTTCTCTGATAGGAATCAAGTTATTACGGGTTTTACCTTGAATCCCGAGTATTAAAATTACTAGCAGTCAACATGAAATGTGCTAACAGTAGTGTGAGTTTTTTTGAGAAAAAGGATGGAACACCTCAAAGGTATTCCAGCCAGCTAAATTAAAATATAACTGGTTGTTACAAAAAATAAATCATACTCCCAACCAAGAGTATGTACTAAAGTTCAAAAGAAGTAGCATATATCCCCCTGTATATATCTGGGAATAAACTTTAGAAAAAGAGTAGAATGTTTGACACTAATAACCAAAAAACCAAAAGGTAAACATCTAACATAGTTTTCTTCTAGACAAAAACACAAAGCATAAGAAACTCTGTGAACTCTTATCCTTCCAACTGAATCACCTTGATCACATCATCCCTGCCTTCAATCTCAGAAACTCCAGCAACTTTTGATTTTCCAGCAACTCTTTTTCTTCTTCTTTCCAGCAGTCTGGCAGCTCGAACAGAAGTCCCTTTAGATCCTAGCCAAAATGTTGAGAAAATCATAATTTTGTTCAAGAGGACAAGAGAACTCTTCTGCTTATTAGAAAATAATCTGTCATTGTGTTCTTGCCACACGCACCAGTGAAGACAACCTTTCTCTTCAAATTAGAATCCCCATCATTCCCAATACTCCAATTTAGCCAAACCTCTTTTAAAGAGTTCATTCTAAAATCTTTATATGTACTCAACTTGAACTGAAATGATCTCCAAATAGAGTATACAAACTCACAGTTGAGAAATAGATGTGAATGATCTTCATCCATATTAGCGGATAAACAACATGTCTTCTCTAAACAAACTCCTTTTTTATCCAGATTATCTTTTGTATTTAAGCCATTTTTAAGAGCCAACCAAACTAAGGACTTGACTTTTAATGGAACAGGAAGATTCCATAAGTTTACACAATCATATATTAATCCACCATCAATAAGGAATTGATAAAATGAATTAACCGAAAAACCCTTTTTTGCATCCCATATCCATTTTATTTTATCTTCATGTTGCCCAAAGGTAATTGAATTGATAAGACTCATCATATTGAGATACTGCATGACCAAATTCCCAGTCAACTGTTTTTTAAAATGCACATTCCATCTCTACATATTGTTGTCATTAGACCTCATACTGTTAATGGATGCATAGGGGGATGAGGTGAGGGAAAATAAGGATGGAAATAAAGAGAAAAGAGTAAATGAACCTACCCATTTATCCAGCCAGAATAAAGCATGGTTTCCATTTCCAACCTCCACACATGTGCTGCATAAAAATCTTTCAGCAATAATAAAAAGATTTCTCCAAAAATGTGAAAGTTTCAATCTTCGAGAATTTAAAAATTCTGTCCATGGTTTCTTTCAAAATGTACATAAAAACTAATTTGTTTCCAAAGTCCATATTTCCCATCAAACCACTTCCAAAGCCATTTTCCCAAAAGAGCTTTATTCATAATTTTCAGGTTTTTAATTCCCAAACCACCATAGAATTTTGGTTTACAAACTTCCTCCCATTTAACCAAATTTGAACAACCTTTATGATCTAAAGATCCAATCCACAAAAATCTCCTTCTCATTTTATCAATTCTTTTAATAACCCATGAAGGAAACAAAAAGAAAGATAGTTAGAAAATTGGCATATAAGAAAAGACTGAATTAACCAGCACCAGTCTACCTCCTCTTGATAAGGATTTACCTTTCAATAAGGATAATTTTTTCTCTATTTTTTCAATCAAAGGGAACCAATCTTCTTTTTTTAATCTTCCATGCCTTAATGATATCCCAAAATAAGTAATAGGAAATTTACTAGTCTTGCAATTTATCATAGTGGCCAAATTTTGTTGCAAAGATTCATTATTTTCCAGAGCTATAAGAATACTCTTATTGAAACTAATCTTTAACCCAGAAGCAAGTTCAAAACAATATAGAATCAGTTTCAAAACTGTTAACTGCATTCTATCATTTTTGTAAAAAATCAAAGTATCATCTGCATACTAGAAAGAGTGAACTTTATGATCCATGTTAACAGGGCCTAACCCTTCAATAAGGTGAGAATCCACAGCAAGATTTAATATTTTTATAAAAGAATCTGCTGCCAGAACAAATAAAAGGGGTGATAAATGATCTCCTTGACGAACTCCTCTTTTAGACATAATCCAACTCCCTGTTTTACCATTTATGTTAATGGCAGACATACCCCTATTTAAGCTTAAATTCACCTAATTAATCCATCTTTCACCAAATCATTTGGCTTTCAGAACTTCCAGAATAAAATTCCAGTCAAGCATATCATAAACTTTCACAAAATCTAGTTTTAATAAAATCCCTCCCTTTTTTTATTATGAAAACAATCATTAATAATCTCTTGGGCTACAGCCACTCCATCTAGGAGGAATCTATTTTTAATGAAACCAGACTGCATGGGATCAATGAGCAATTCAAGCTTAGTATTCAGCCTATTAGTAAGGACTTTAGTGATCATTTTGTAAATCACATTGAGAAGACTAATGAGCATGTAATCATTGACTGTAGTAGTCTCACTCTTTTTAGGAATAAGAACAATATGAGCATAGTTAAGTCTATTGATCTCTAATCTTCCCTCATAAAATTCATCAAACAATTTCATAACATCATTTATCACAGTGTCCCAAAACACTTGAAAAAATAAAGCAAGAAAGCCATCAAGGCCATGAGATTTATCTCCATTCATGTCAAAAAGAGCTCTATGAACTTCTTCCACTGAAAAAGGATGTTCAATATCACTGAAGCCCAAATCTGATACATGGAGCAATTTATTCCAATCATGCTGGCATCTATTAGGAACATTTTGACCATAAATCTGGCTATAATGGTTAAAAAAATCTGAGCAATACCATCCTCAGAACTTATTTCAACATCATTATAAGTAATAGATGAAATCAAGTTATTTCTTTTTCTTCCATTGGCAATTTTATTGAAGTATGCAGTGTTTTGGTCTCCCTCTTTGCGCCATTGAGCTTTAGCCCTTTGTTTCCACATTTGCTCTTCTTGAAATAAAAATTCATTCAGCTACAAAGTAATGTCATTTTTTAATAACTCATCATCTGTTAGATCTCTGCACTCCTCTAAAACTTTCCATTTTAAAAGGTCTTCCAATAACTCTTTCTTTTTTCTGTCTAACACTATAAAAATTGGAATGAACCCATTGTTTAATACATTTCCTCATGAATCTTAATTTTCCAACCATGTTTTTAGCAGTAGAGGTACTTGAGGGAGCATAAAGGTACATTCTTAGTAAACTCCTCAGGTTGAAACCAATTTTTTTCAAATCTGAGTTTATAAACAAAATGTTGATTATCTCCACAGTCAAATCTAATGGGAGCATGATCTGATAATTGACTGCATAAGCCCTGTTGTTTTGAAAAAGGAAAAATATCTTCCCATTCAGAGTTAAAAAAAACTCTGTCAAGCCTAGCCATAGAAGGAAATCTTCTTTTATTTGACCAAGTAAATTTTCTTTCATGTAAAGGGCTATCAATCAATTCTAATTCATTGATCACTTCATTAAATTTTTACATTTCCATTCTATAGATACTTTTGCCTTTTCTTTCATCTGGATTGGAGGTAACATTAAAGTCCCCCACCACAACCCAAGGACCTGGAAAGATGTTTTTAACATCTTTAAACTCCTGCCAAAAAAGCAGTCTCTCGCTATTACAATGAGGACCATAAATTGATGAAACATTCCAGATAAAATCATTTTTTTATTTTGTAAAACCACTGTCAACACATATTTACCAGATTTCTCCTGTAATCTCTTCCATTTAAAAGTATTCCATCCAATCATAATTCCTCTAGAAGCTCCCCCAGTCAAACATATTATCCCCAAAACTTTTGAGAATATTGTCAGAAATACAATTCAACTTAGTTTCTTGTAAACAAACAATCTCAAACTTATTTAGATGACAAAAATCTTTAACCCCAAATCTTTTAGTATTCAACCCTAATCCTCTCACATTCCATGTAATCAACATATCAACATAAATATAGCTCCACAAGGAATAAATATCCAGAGTCTACTCATTGGTAGCTCTCTCTATCTCCATTTGCCTTACTTTTTTTAGAGGATCAAAATCCTCTTGAGACTCAAGAATAATAGCACATTTAGAAGCATACTTCTGCAATTGATTGTTAGTGCAATTTTCAAACAAAATAGGTACAAAAGAGGAACCCAAAGAAGAAGAATTATCACCTGAACCACTGGTAGATACTCCATGAGAAGAATTATCAGCATTTCTTGTAATTCTTGAGGTAGCTCTAGCTAGCGCCGTCATAGGTTCCAGATCCACAAATCTGGAACATCTCCTAACAAAAGTCACTTTTGAATTAATAATTGAGTCCTCAGGAGGTAGAGAATTCAATGGTTGGATCACGGGAATTTCTTCATCTTTCTCTATGTTTTCCTCATTGATCTCTGAAGTTAGGAAAGAAAGCCAGTTAACTGGATCATGGTCCTCATTTATTATTAGAGCTTTGCCTTCGGATTCATCAATAATATCAAGGATTTCTCCCATTCTAATTGCCCCTGTGTCTTCCTTCTTTTCAGAAAAAAGAGGAATATCAAAAACCAAATCATCACTTTATTTTTAATCTTTTCAGTGTCAGCCCCATGTTCATGTATTTCTTCAGAAACAGCCACCACATCTCCCCCTGGAATTTGTTCATCACCAACATTTTGTGAAGTATTAGTCACCCAAGGTTCCCATTCAACATTCTGTTCTTGATAAAAATTCT